GTGTTGACATGTTCTGAAAACTCTTGAATGTAGCACAAGGGCGATGTTGTTTTGCTGCAAGACAGCTTCGCAACCTATGTCAACGGGTCAGAAGATCTTGAGCCATTTTTGTACAAGAAGCATGGTGACATAAAGTGGATTAGGTGCACCGAAACAAATTTGTGGAGTTAACAAAGCAAAAAGACATGCCATAATCTCTGGCTCACTACGTGCACTTGTTTTACCAGACAATTTGTCGTCCACTGCAATAGACACATAAAGTTCGCACTTAACGCAAACTCATTTGTGCATGATGATCTACGGTCTGAGCGTTGTCTGTTAGCTCTTTTATATGTCGGTGTTTTAGTCCATATCGTTACGACCGGGATCAAGGTGCTAGTGATAACATTTCTGTGCAGAACATTTATGTTTCGGTTCAGACATGATTTAGCAGTCCGGCCTCCGGTAGCAGGTGCCGGACGGCCACTCGGCGCTGTTTAAATTGACGGGCCCGGATAGCCGTCCAGCCGTCGGGTCTTTCAGGCGTCCGGTCGCTTGGACCAGTTCTGTGAGTGTTAACGATGTCATTGTGGCTTTGTTTGCCACCATGGAGCGACCAGCGTCTTTTAGCTTGCTTTAATTATTATGCTGCATCGCTTTGGAAAGCAATCTAAGCACGAATAGTGACGAGGAAGATCTGCTGCCCGTGCTGTTATTCGCGGAAGCGGCCCTCAGACGGCGCCCATTTTGGGTTCAGGAAGGTTGGGGTCGCGCGGGGAGTGGGGAATCCTTCTCGTTATTCACCAGCTATAGTAACACACTGACGGGTCCCATTCGCCTGCTTGTCTTGCTCAACAGGCCATGCTGGTTTCGCAAAGCGGTTGTATGGTAATCACAAGGGCACAACACTAAATACGCCCTGAGCTGACAACGCCACCAGACCCCACATTTGCTTTAGGTAAATAACCGACAACAACACGGGACACCGGTGCCATGGACACCGACACGAGCTTGGCATTTTTGGTGCGACAAATCTGGCAACTGTGACGTGCTATATCATGCAATTGAAAACACAAAATATGACGGCCAAACAACGACACATGCTGCTGAGCAGTCCTTCGCACGCAAGAAAGTAGCCATGCACATGTTTTCACGATGTTCGTGCTATACATTCACTCGTCTCTAATACAACACATATGTGTGATGCGCTCCAACGTGTCGGTAGGCAGCACGAGCGCAGTCGAAAGCCCAAAAAGATAAACCAAGTTTACCTGTCGGCTGGAGACGTGTATGGGTTCGGATGGCCTGTTCTCGATGTCGACGGCGGTCGGTGAGCTCCCCGGCTCTCAGTGGATCGAGGGCCGCACGTTGTCCGTTTCCGGTCTTCGGGTTGGGCCCCCAGATATTTCCATTGTTTTCAAGACATTCCGGGTCTAGAAGGTGAATCGCCAGATCATGTGTAAATCGTGCTTCAGAAGGAATATCCCAATGTATGCACAGTCCCGTGGACATATTGGGGACTGTTCGTTCATAAAAGCCAAGAGCTGGTTCGGGCAGGTAACTGATCCTCCCGGTTCTCCATAAAAATTCCGAGACCGTACGGCAGCTGCCGTATCGATTGGCGCCGCTGAAATGGCGGCACACCTTCGCACTGCGTTGGAGGCATGCATCTTTCATGAGAAAGTTTGATCCAAGGTAACAGAACTTTGGTTGAGGAGAACAGCTGCACTGTGCTGCCCGAGAAAGCAGTATGAAAATACGCTGCTCGCAAAATGATCGCCTTCCTACCAGACATAGTGATGTTCGTCGTCTGTGAGATTAATTAAACTGCGTTGGCCCTGAAACACACCTGAAGGTTCGAGTGTGAATGTTTCGAGGTCTAAAAGCCCCTTTGTGCTGCATGGTAGCTCCGTGCACCGTGGTTTGTCGAGGACGCCGCAGTCGACGCTGTCGAAAGCTTTCCCTAAATGGACGGCGATCAAGACCAGTATAAATTATTTGCTTTATTTTGTGCATAATTCACTCGACAGCTTGGGGCAGGATGTTGTTAAATTGCCTGACCTGCAAGCACGTTGGTCGAAAGTCAGAATGTCGTTGCAAGTGTCTGATCCCAGTGGTGGTGTTATTTGAGTGCTCACTTAGAGTTCTGTCTCGGTAAAGGGACGTCATATGAGCGCTGGCTTTGAGTTCCATCCCAGTATTGCCGTCATACGAGCGTCCACTCAGCAACATTTCAGATCGGTGACTCAGAACGATAACATTGTTAAAACTGATCCGTGAATGAAAACCCACGACAGGCTGAGGCGGGGTTGATTTGACCCCGTTATCAGATCCAGACGATTCGGAAATCTGGTGTTTGCCTGAATTTATCTGCATAAGTTGTTCCAGTTCAGGCATCGTCTCCCTTTCTCAGAATTTCTAGCTCCAGACTGGTCCAGTCAGTTGTATCACGCATTTCACTCAGCACTGTTCACATTCATCTGCTTCGATGTTTCACTCTGGCATAGAGGGGCTTCCACATTTTAATGATATGAGGCAAGCACCAGAAATGATGAAAAGAGCTCATTTGTAATCATAGGTGTGCTTTGTAGCGCAAAAGGCTATTCCTTTTAACAAGCTTTCAATGTTTTTAAATGCACTCCGCAATGCGCGTTCCTTTGATTATGTCACGGACCTTTTTAATAGTGTCAGAGTCGCTGCTAGGTTGACCGTATCAAAGTTGACACCATCGGAAGTCAGGTCTCACTGATGGCACTTCTATGCACCGTAGGTGGCGTTGGCAGTTACGTTGTGATTATATAATTTTTGACTCACAGCCTCATGTATATCATAACAAGAGCAATCGCCTTCTATCATTGAGACACTTGGTGCTGGATCACCGTTTACAAAAGCATTTCAGTGGTCGTATTCGTTTTGACCACGAGCGCATCACGGCAAAAGAGATGGTGATAGTTGCGTGTCTATGCGTTTCTATGACATCCTGCATGTTTGAGTGACTCAAATAGGCCGCGCAATAGACTGCACAACTTTGCATGCGTCAAGCCCAGACGCAAGAAAGTTTGAAGCCTCAAAAACAGCATGACCCTGCGCTGCAGGGAATGTTTATGGAAATGGCTATATCAGTTTAAAACCACCATACAGATGTCGAACATTACTTTTAACACGACACGCCATGTAAAGCACAACACAGAACATTCAATTTTGGATGCACGGGCAGTTCCATTCACAGAAGCCACGTGGCTTCCAGCATCAGTTTCTGGCTTCAGCCATCCCGCCAGGCGTACGGCATGAGAGGAGCATCTCGCGGCTTATGCATGCATATGATGCGTGCATATCTTTACTTGCAATTCCACAGTCCTGCTTACATGGGTCCGCCCTATTTTCGCCCCCAAATTATTCAATGGTCCCTGCAATGGTCTGCCTTGGGCCTTATCTGAAACATGCAGCATATACGGAATTATAAATCGTTAAAACAACGTTCAAAGATAAAGGACATATTATGTCGTCGTCGTATCGAGATATCATGCCTTATCATTAGCGCGGGAGATGGCATTATAGTAAATGTTCATCATAGCATTCTCACGGTGATGGAGCCGTGGATCGCACACAGGTAAAGACAAAGCATGCATAAATTGTGTACGCCCTCATTATGACGAAGGAGATTTCTGAATATGATGCGAGCAGGTGCCTGTACAAGTATTGGGACACCGATATAAAATAAACTAGTAAGACTTAGAAACGAGCAAAACGCCTTGACTTTCTGACTGCGCAATAATTTGGTTTCATTTTAATTTCTGGAACTCTGTACCCTGGGTCTGCACTCCAGCAAACGTATGCAAACGAAGCTGTTGTTCGGGGCACTAGAAGCCCGTGTGTTACGAAAATTTGGGTAAATCCATAACTTACGCTTGCTACACAAGTTGCGTAAGCTAATCGTTCTTTTAACACATGAGGTTCTGGCGCACCTGAAACGCGCTTGTAAGAAATGGAGGAAAGCGCCTCTGTTAAATAAATAATACTGGCCGCATTGCTTTTGACTTCGTGGTATTTTGTATTCCGTGAAGCAATCGATGATGCTCCGACACACCTGTTGTGCGCGTCGTTGATTAGACATCATTTTGCGACTTCCAAGATCCAGCGTGTAAAGCAGGGTAGATGAGTACGTTCATACGTGGTGGAGCATACATGTTCCTCAAAAAGCCTGCATTGGGATGTGAGAACGTTCATGACTGTTATCCGACAGCAATGCGTTAGTTTCATGTTGTACACTTTCCAGATCTTTGAATAGGACAAACGGACAAAATGCCTTCTTGAAACTGCAGACAATTAATTAACAGTCCGTGCATGTTATCAACACATCTACAACTGTTACACTGTTGCATCATAAAACGTATTTTGCAGCAATGCGTCATTTTCTCAAGCAAAGCCTCATTGGCGCTTCTTTGTCTGGGAAGCTGTACCCAATTCTTTGAAGTTTCAGATTTTGCCTTACGCGATCCATGGATCTATTTGTTATCTGCGGGTTGAATTGAATCCATGGAAAACTATCACTGGAACCAGCTGCCAACAACGTTTCGCCGGTGAAATCGCCACTGTGAAAATAATGGAACCTTTAAGTACAGAATGCTGCCGCCACTGTGGTCAGGGGGAAAGGTGCTGGACTGGTAATCCAGCGGCACTGAGCACCACTCCCAGAGCGGGCACGCACTGGCCCGCCTGGCATGCAAAGATCAGCTGACAACTGACCAATGACATTCGACTTAGGCTATAGGCGGCCGTGACGCAGCATTATGTGACACTTTAAGTCCCCCTGAGTCTCGTCTGACGAAAGCACGAAGGCTTGAATATCCGTTGACCTGGACAGCACAGCTTAGTGATGGGATCAGGAGCAACAAGCTAGGCTTGTGAGGTACCTTCAAACCGAAGACAATCATACAAAACATTCGGAACACATTTATATAAGAATATAGCGATTGCCAGTCATGTGTTTGACCTCAGACATTCCTTGCCTTCACTGTCAGGTTGTGTACAACAAGACTTCGATGAAGCCCCAGTGGCACGTGCAGGGCCTGATCCCTGGTCAGCGGTACAGGATCCACGCCGTGGCGCTGAACGCCAAGGGCAGGAGCGCTGCTGTCATCCTACCGGCCGACACCGTCACCGGCCCCGAGAAACAGCAGGAAAACAAACAAGGTCAGTGGTACAGACGGACGATTGGTGTCCTCCCAACCATTACTGTCACTGGCTCCGAACAACAGCATGAGAACAAACAAGGTTAGCTGTGGCAAACAGCTGGTTGTTGTTTACCAATTGATACTGGCGCTGGCTTGGAAAACCAAACAACAGAAACGATTCTGGCAGGAGACGGCTGACCTGCGTTCTCAGGTCATCAATGCTTTAAATACTGTTAAGCTTAGCATTTAAAGGGAATATCACACCTTTTTATACTTTTTACTTATGGTTACGTCAGACATGTACCATTTGATTTATTAACACCAGTTTTCTCGAAATCCTTCTGAAAAGGTCATAATTTCGTTTTGAAGTTGCCGACCGCGCGGAAAAAATCCCATTTCTCACCTTGCTCACCACTCACCACTTTGTGAGTAATACAAAATATCGATAGCGATGTGTATAACATAATATTATATGTAGCATAACAACAACATAATATTAGATATAACATAATAGTAATACATATAATCTACCTTGCTTTTCCCAACGTGCGTGTTGTATAACGTTTACAACAAAGTATTTTATCAAAATCCTTTCGTAATAAATGCATTAAAAGCTTCAACACACCGTTTAGACAAAAATATATGGGACCAAGAGGTTCTTGTTCTGCGAGTTCAATGAAGCGTCATACTATGGCTTTGATTTCTCCCACTAAGGTGTTTTCCACAGCGGTTCTTTTCGAGGCGCACATTGGATTTTGGGAATGGGAGTAACACATGATCCATGTAACGCACTGGTTCAGGCTTTAACCAATCAACTTCGTAGTAACAGACCCTTGCCCGCTGGGCCAATCGCAAAACGTTCTTTAATTCACACTAGTAGAGCTATGCACGGTAGTTCTCATAACGCCGGTGGTTGCGAAGGCTGCGAAGATGTGTAGCGTTGTTACAAAGCGTCGTTACAGCGTAATTTGGACACAATAATAAGCTAAATGGACATGTTTTATGTCTTGACGGTGCTACAGTGGCATAACCCAGGGTTATTTCTGTACATAGGTAGCCCTGAGGCTTCACCAGAGTATTTGGTTTGATATGCCCGAAAAGTGGGTCACTTCCTTTAAAACCACCCTACTCGTGTGCTGTTTTGCGAAGCCTGCTGCGCAATTTCTGCATTGGTGAGACGTGTTTCACAGGCTCGACCGTTGTGTTTACAATGATAAATCGTAAAGTCGATAGCCCGAGTCCAAACAGAGACACGCATTCGCACATAGCACAATTATTACCAGCGTTACCTCAGCTGTCCCGGATCGGAAGGCGACGCCACCAGCCGCCGCCGAGACCGGCTGCTTCCTCACGACTGCGCTCCGCGCTCGACAGATTTCACGATCGCTGAGATGCTTCCGGAACCAGCCGAACACTCGCCGCTGCTGGCCCTGCTGGTGGGTGGGGTCGGCTCGCTCGTGCTGCTGCTGCTGGCCGCCATCCTGGCGGCCTTCGCGTGCCGCCGCGGTCACCGCCAGGGTGCGCCAACAAGTCGGCTGCACCTGACGACGCCGGTCGACCTGGACAGCGGCGACACGAGGGGTTCAGACGTGTCGCCTGGTCCCAACGGTTAGTGGATACCAGGAGTATACCAGGACTCAAAATCGGACGCAGGATCAGGGATCTGGACCATGTCCTCGATGTGTTCCGTGCCATTCGAGATCGAGATCCGGTGATTGCTGAGTCGAACGCGATCCGGGATTAGCCCCTGCCATCGCGGGTAACATGCATTCCCTCAGCAACGGGAATTTTCTCAGTAAGGTTATTTGAGTTTGGTGCGTGCCCCCCCCCCCCCCCCCCTGCTCCGCGAACCGCAGTGGTTAACGAGGCGTTCACGCGGTGGGAAGCGTGTCGTTGCTCCGAGACTGTTCCACCACACTGAATGGTCACAGCCCTCCCCCCCCCCCCCACAATTCCAATGTAATGAGGCAGGGATATTTGTCAGGCAAGGTTACATGCACGGCATGGAAAAAGCTTTGCAGCTGCATGTAAAATGGTATGACAACCGCACTATTTTGGCGACTGGGCATTGCTGTCACGCATGGCAACAGCTCGTAGGGCTCTTAGCTTTTTCTTCGTTCATGGAAGGTCTTAGACGCACACAAAATAAACACGTTGAATTAGGCAAAAGCTGAATGCGCAGCATAGCTTACGCACGGTGCTCGCCGGTGGATTTGCCCCAGCGACCGCCAGAGCTGGCGCGTGAGATGCAGACCAACTGCGCCGTTCTGCGCGCAATGGGCAGGACATGTGCAAGTCACACCGTTTGGCTAGGCGGACCATATTTGGTATCAGTGAATACGACCTCACACCGCTGGAAGCGCGGTCGCCGATGGCGTGCGCGGGGAGCAGAGCCGGCCGTCTGAGCGCCGCACCTGGTGGCGCGCGCTCTGGAGTAGGCTATCTCCACAGCCACGCCGGCCAATGGATACTGCGCCAGCCGGCCGGCCGGTCGTTCGACGGCCGGCCGGCTGCTGTGAGATGAGAACGTTGTAAATTCATGAGATGACTGTGACCTGACGGCCAGGAGGGGCCGCTGGAGTCGGCTGGCCAGCGGCAGCGGCGCTGGCCCGGCGCCGCGAGCGTGACGCGCCGACCGTTGTGGTGCGGCGCCGCTCCCTCCGCGGCCATCGGGCCAGCCGCGGCCGCTGCAAGCCTGACTGAGCTCCATTACCGACCCGCGACAGTCAACATTAATCACCGTTGTCGATCCCTCGTCGCTATCCGGTGTACAGGGCACGGTAATCCGGTGTATTACAGATGGCGTGGGTGGCATAACAGGTGGGGCGTATGCTCTAGGCCAGCGATCTGTTTGATCGGACGAATAGTTTATTGGCAATAATGCATTTCCTATTTATCCGCGTGCTTATGGATACGACTTTCGACATATTAAGAGACCTCGAACCCGTATGCTGCTTTAGTCATTGCCTCAACATTGTCAACTCGAAGAGGGATTTCCTTAACCCCATGCTAGTCGCCGGTCCAGCCATCTTCCACAGATTGGGGACGGGTTGGCGGGACCGCCGCAGCCAAATGTGCGCGTACGTGTCAATGCAAGTCTGAGAAAACAACAGAACACAGGACGGTAGCTTTGTATGTGATCCACGGCTCTTCCCTAATATTTTGTGGCGTCTGTCAGAGATCACTGATTGAAATTACTTTGATCTATGCTCTTCATAATCAGATCGTACGGGTTAAGACGTCCAGGACCTGACACAGCTTTGATATGTTATACACCGTTTTACAGGTGCCGACCATTTACACCCACAACACCCCCCGACCGCACTAAAGTGGTGAATCAGTATCTGACTATCCAGCTATATATCAAGGGAAGGGTTCCAAATTTATATCGGGTTTTGAACTGAAATGCCATCTTGAAGACCTTTTGTTCCTGCTAACAATTCTTCCCTTCTTATGACCCAAGCCCCTTTAGTTTCTGAACTATATGCCCGCGAAAATGGCGAAAAATATAGCGGTAGAGTACTTCAAAGACACGTTGGCATCTATGACGTTGCAATAACGTTATTCAAATCCGGCCATTCCAAAATCCATGCGGCGTTCAAGACCAAGAAATATGATTATCGAGGCGCTTATATCTGGCGTTCGTGAGTGCTATTTCCAGTTATAACGACCGTCGATTGACTCTCAATCCATGTTGTCCAAGGTACGATGACGTAATCAGACATTGACGCGTTAAGCAGTATATTTATTAACAGAGTATTGTGCCGTCTAGTCTTTTCTTTCCACTCTTGTCCACTCAAAAAGCGTACGAATTGCTGTGAGTGAGCTTGTTTCATCATATTTGATGCTTGGTTTAACATCTTCAAAGGTGAAAGATTCTCTTTAAAGGGAGTGCTCTGCATTTGAAGATATTGAGGCAATCATCAGATGTGATAAAAAAACTCACTGTTAAGTATATGTGTCGTTTTTATGAGCATGTCCGCATTTAAAGATATTGAAGCAATCAGCAGATATGATGAAATATACTCACTCATAACGTATGGCGTACTTTTAAATGGGAAAGGCTGCCGTGGACAAAAACATTTCGTTAGTTGGGAAATATGCTCCTCAATGCGTCATTGTTTGCGTCATGGAACGTCTGTACGACGATGAGTTACTTATGGCCATGACAGTATTATTCCCCCGATTTCTCGTAGAATAACCAAGAGAATGGGGGGAAGGATGGATTGATTTTTCGGCTACATGCCTGTATCGAACCAAATATCATTAGTAAGTTGAAATATCCTGCAGATAGCCCTCGATTTCTCAGCTTTTTACAGCGTTTAATTGCGAGCCACATTTTTTACAAGTCACCGACATTCATAGGATTTAATATCAAGCAACCGCCAACCATTACTACAATGCAGTGTATATCCAACCAAAAATTAAAGTGCGAGAAAAATGCATGTGCATGGAGACGGATTCAAGTATACAGACATCACGCATCACGCATCAATTATACATGCAAGCGATTTTAAGTAAACAGGCATCGCGCATTACTTAGCGCGCCCGGGTGGGGTGCAAATTAACCTCCCCCCCCCGAAGGTTTTTCCGGAATGGTTTCCGAACGGCGCGGATTAGCCGCGAAATTTTGCATAGCTGTAGAAAATTGAATAGCAGATCGTTTAATGTAAAGGATTTAGATGTATCTTGTAACTTCGCTGACCTATGGGGTCAAAGTCAGGCCATGGTTTCAGCGAAGGCAATTTCTAGCGAATCGTTCAGTCTGATACTACAACGGAGTGTTTGACGAAGCCATACATATCTGAGATGCTTTCTTATGCAACACACAGATTGAATGAGCAAATTATGTTGACCTAAGGTCAGATATGAAGGTCAGACCAAGGTAAAAACCAACCTGTTTTATTACTCTAGGGCTTGATGTATGGGATAGTTTCAGGTGTTCATTTTGAATTTATTGGTAGCAGGAACCGCATTATGAGTCTTCCATTGACCTTTTGGAGGCCAGAAAAGGTCACTGACCTAAGATCACCCAGGTCAGTATTTTGTTTTTGAGACACACTGCCAGGTGTAATATTTGTCGCTTATTCAAATACAAAACTCAGAGCAGTCTTGCATGATTTTCGCCACCATGACCTTTAAAAGGTCAAATAAGTTTGCTAACCTTAAATGGGCTTGTGGCCTTTTGCTTAGGAACATTTATCTAGGTTATGGGGGCACTTTGGAGACCAACCTGTAATTTGACCTTGATTGACCTTATTCGACCAAATGGGCATGACCTAGAAACCCCAAACTTTGACCTAGGTGAGGTTGCGTACAAACCAGTACATCCTGTAAATTTTGTGCCTCTAGCTTTCTTAGTTCCGGAGACCTCAGGGTGACGTCAAAATGACCCCCCACCCGAGTGAAGGATATCTGGCCGGCCACCCGGATGCGTGTTAAACATGCGAACGATTCCATTTTAACGGGCATCGCGCATCACCCCTCAGACATCACCCATGCATGTAAATTATTTTAAGCTAGCACGCATCACACATCAAAGCACTGCTCACATTCGCATGATCGGCCATGATGAGCCCCCTACGTTACGGTCTCGTCGCCGACTTTCCGTAAGACTGGATTCGCCTTTTTTCCTTTCTTGACGGTCCTGTGCTCTTTAGATGACTCGGAGTTCTTAAAGGGGCACAGGGTCCGTACCTCCCTGGATTTCAGCCTAAGTGTGTCTCGTCAAAAAATGGCCGCCGAAAATTGCCACCAAAAACACGGATTAAAGTGGGATCGGATATTGAGGCTGAGCATCCACACAGATTCAGACATATTGAAGATCAAACAAGCTGTATCGCGTTTGAGCCTGACGCCAATCCCAGGCGACATTGGTTCAAAGCAAATTTCAGGAGGGGCGACGAACTGCACTGGATGATCTTCAAAATGACTACCTTAGCTCAACACCATATACAAATGAGAAACACTCCCTTTGATGACTTAAGGAATACCAAATGATTGCATTCTTACCTCTACAGATTTTGGCATTTGCTATTTTCACATCTTAATCCGTCCCTTACAGCCCGCCCGTCCGTCCCGTCCGTTCCCCTTCAGTCCGTCCCCGCTGGCCATTTCATTGCATGTTAACATGCCTTTACGTTATGCCTATCACATTTAGTTGATGACTGTTTTGTTGAATGTGGAAATATTATTGAGCCGCGGCGATTGTGTTATCATGATGGTGACATGCATCACCGTTAGAATAGCTGCTCGGAATAGCGTGCTCGTCTAGTGTGAAAGCATGAATGCAAGGCTCCCGCCAGTTTATTCTCCGGCCGTCGACAGGTCCTGAGAAAGGGTTGGATGGTGTTTGGCTTTTAGCCATGAATGCGACACAAAAGCGAATTATTTTCATGGGGTTGCTGTGATTCGAACCAGGGTCTTTTGATTGTGAGTCCAGTGTAACCGATTTAACCGGGAGGGGCAAGCTTTTGGGTGTAAAAACTTTGTGTCACTTATCTCCTGGATGTCTGGTGGTTTTTCCGCAGAATTAGGTTGCACGTTGGGCACATGTCTGCACCTTGCTTGCTGATGGGGATGTTAGCCGATGTCATGTGTACTGTTCC